CCAGCACAAGAAGGATGCAGAACTGCTGGAGCAGATCCAGAGGAGGGCACAAAGACAGTCTGAGGGAGCTGGGCTTGTTCAGCCTTGGAAAGAGAAGGCTGAGGGGAGACCTCACCGCAGCATTTCAGCACTTAAAGGAGGTCTACAGGAAAGATAGGGAGAGACTTTTTATTAGGGAAAATAGTGATAGGACAAGGCGAAATGGTTTTAAGCTAAAAGAGAGATTTATATTAGATATTAGAAAGAAATTCTTTACTATGAAGGAGGTAAGGCAGTGGCACAGGCTGCCCAAAGAAGATGTGAGTGCCCCACAGGTGTTCAAGGCCACGCTGGATAAGGCTTTGAGCAGCATGATTTTGTAGACAGTGTTTCCTGTCCATGGCAAGGAGTTGGAACTAGGTGATCTTCAAGATCTCTTCCAATCCAGACAATGATAATGGCTTTGTGATTGCCCGGATGGAAACGTGTTGCCTTGATTGACAGGGTTAATAGTAGAGATTGTCTTGGGCATGCCCAAAGAAGGCCAGCATGCACAGCTGTCAGAAGGGGACAGCCGGCACTGAGATCCTCCAGCCCTGCAAGGCATGCCCAGCTGAGTGTGAGCTGCTGCTGATGAGTTTATCTCACCCATGTGCAACAAGACCTTAAGCCCTTCCTCTTTGACGTGGGGATTAAGGGCAATCTTGTCAGATTTAAAGACGATGAAGCACCCCTACCTTGGGATCATAGGCTACTGGCCTACAGATTATGCAGCGTGGCCTCGTTGTGGGAATGTATCTCTTTTGCTTTCAGAAATAAGCTAAGAATAGCACACTGCCCTTTCAAGCGAGTCACAAAATCTGAGCTAGTTGGCTACAAGCCAAATTGACTTTATAAAAAAAAAACACAAATACCTTAATTATTTTACATAGCTGCTAAGCTCTGGTGCCCAGTCACGCTGACCTGGGAGCTGGTAAAACAGCAAGGTGTTTTGGCTGATTCTGATTCTCCCTTCACCTTCAAAATTTGCCATTTTTGTTTGCCTTGGGGACTGGGCCGGATGCTGAATTTCAGACCAAGCTTCCCTGCCCCACTGTTCTTATCTATCAGCTTACTGTACAAACAGCAATTCTACCCAAAATGTAGCCTGTAATTTATGATTGTGATAACAAATGAACAGATTAGAAAAATATCACTAATATTACACAGCACCAAACATATCTGCAGGTACAGTACAGGTTAAACAATAAGAGGAACCAATTTCTGTAGTTCCTCTTCCCATATTCTTGCTGCATTGCACACACAGAGTTAGTGCTTCCTCATCCTCACACATGCTTTCTGGGCACAGCACTGTACAAAAAAATAAAAGCCTTCACCAGGAAGGCTCTGCAAAATTATGAGCTCAGCCCTATTAAATTTGTTAAGGTCTGCCTCGTCTCAGTGATCGTGGTTCTGACTGCAGCTCAGTTTGTCTGTGCTGCAGTTATGTGATCCTGTAGTGGGGAAACAGGAGGAGAAAATTTGTGCTGATTTCATCCTCCAATCACCCAACTTCAATTTGCATCTGGGAGACCAAACGGTGTCCTCTGGCTGTTTGTAAGAGCAGAATAAACAGCATCTGGAAATATTTCCAACCTTTACGTCTCAGTGGTACATGATGTTGTTAAAATAATCCCTGTCATGGGTCTACTCTGGCCAACAGCACTCTGTCAAACTATTCATAGACAACATTAGAGAACTGTTGAGGCCTTTCAAATAATAGAATGGAATAGAACAGTTCAGTTGGCATGTACCTACAAAGATAATCAAACATAACTGCAGTTTGGGTGTGCTAACTGTACTTCTCAGTATAAGAAATATTCTGGATGTGTCCTGTTCCCAGCTATTTTTGTTTGAGACGTCCAGCTCACAACAGCAGATGTAGTTTTCATAGCCACAGGAAATTAAATGAGTAATATCCTGCACTTAATATTCTATACAGCTTATCGTGAACGTGGCAGCACAGCAACACATAATCTTCCATTCCGCTTTTCATTTTTATGGTCTCATGGTTTCTCCCTGCAAGGGAGCAGAGCCCTTGCTCCCTCTGCAACCCAGCAGCACCCTAACAGGGGAGGAAGCAAAGGCTGAGGATACAGCTTATACAGCTTAAAAATGTTTGCTTCTAGGCCACAGGAAGGGTAGATTTTACTTCTTTTAGTAAAAAGTAAATATTCTGAATAGAATTCCTATTCAGTTGTGGGTTGGTAGTTGGGTTTTTTTTTCTTTTTCTTTTGAAAATCAAATAATTATGAATTTGTACCTTATTACGTAGTATGTCATATATGCATATTTATAGCTATGCATATATATTTGTATATGCATATACGCTTTCATGCACGATGTGAACTTACATGCGTTGTGTTAGATAGCTGCTTTCCATGGGCTTCTGCTAACGAGTAACTGTGACTTCCCCCTAGTGGTCAATTGCTATTTCTGAAGCTTAAAAATTAGGCTATCACATTGAAAAAATCCATTTGTTTCAGAAAAAAATCAAGCCCCTCCCTTCCTCAAAAGTTTACAATTACTGACTAATTTCAATACAACAGCAGAATATGCTTTCTTACTAAAGCAAAATATATATATAAATAAACAGAAAAAAAGTAAAATTGAAGAAGAGTTCAACGTTGAAGGAGAGCCAGGAAGAGAAAATAACCTCAGAAAGAAAAACAGTTTTTTCAGTGGTTCCCTTTGTAGTGTTTGTGCCAAGAGACCACCAGATGTAGCTGAGCAAAGGGCTCTGTGCTCTCCTTACTGTAAGTCAAAATATTCCAGTCTATGTCCACGTCACTTCCATTCACTCTGCTCTCTGTCTTGGCCACAAGTTGTTTCAATTAACTGCCCCTTTCCCCTATATTTTTCCTGAGAAAGCTCTTCAAAAACACTGATTCTGGCATCCCAGGTTTGAAGACCTCATCATGTAGAATTCTTCCTATTTTCCTTATCTAAAGAGCTTGGGAGATTCCCTCTCCTCTCAACCTGTTTGAACAATACCCAAGCTAAGGGAAAGGATTCTCTTCAGTTTGCCTTGCCCTGTGCTTACAATAAGCATTTTCTTCCCAGGCAACTTTGCAGCTTTGTTCAAAAATTAAGGAAAGAAAACAATTGCCTTACGTGTGTGCGTGTTTGTCCATCTGTCTGACTATTTCCTCCACTAGTTACTGGCAGTTTTCAACTAAATTCAGCCAAAGGATCCAAGATGAATAAGTTCTTCTAAGCCTTGTCAAATAAACAATGGATAATTATGGGGGGGTGGGGGAAATCAGCAAAAAAATCCATTCATGCTGGTACCCACAAGGACTCTCAGTGCAGCCCATATATTACAGACCACCTAATTGAAATATATTCTGAATGCTGTAACATAGAAAACTTAATTTGTCTCTTTATTCCCATGAGGACTCAAAACCCTCCAGAGCTGTGCAAACACACAGCACAGTGCTGTGTAGAGTGGGCTGCTACTGACTGTCAGATGAGCTGTGGGAGTTCAAGATCAAAGCATCCCTTTTTAGAGGCTTTTGGATTAGGAAATAGGAAGATACAGATCAAGTGCAGTTTATTGCTGGAGGTAAACATAGTTCATTGCATGAGACCGAGCAGTTCCAAGAACTCAAACAACAGAGTCAGACTGCCTAAACCTCCATTGTTCAAAGGCTCAGCTCTGAAGACCTGGCACATTAATTTGTACAACACGGCAGATTGGGGACCAGGTATTTTACCTCCTGTTTACTTAGGTCTAAAACATAATAGAAAGACCTAATTAAATCCTGTTTATAGCAGTTGCTTATATTTTGACATGTTTTTTCCAGTGGGCAGGGAAACACTGAGGTATCCTAGGAATCATGTGAGCATAGAAGATTACAAGAAAAATTACTGTTGGCGTATCCTCTTTAATTCCCTCTGGATTTATTACAATCACTTCAGTGAGAATAAAATCAAAAGCAAATTAAAATCACCAAAAGGAAGATGTAGCTGCTTCATGTATCAGAACACTTTGGGAAGCATGCACATAAGAACATACCAACCTTTGTGTCTCCAAAAATGACTATCGTGAAATTTTCTGTCTCAACAAAGTCTCCTGAGCCCAGATCCCTCTTCCCAGGAATTACTCTTTTTTTTTTTTCGAAATAGAAACAGCTGTACTTCATATCTCCCAGTCCATTTTCTAGCACACTGCTGGAAAAATCAACGGACACCTGAGCAGAAAAACAGGCAGCCTGATATGCGAAGGTTCCAAAATGATGACTGCGCAGATGACAGACATGGGAATAGCCAGGGGGTTCCAGTTACAAAGATGGCTCGGGAAGCGGACAGAACGGCTTCTGATTCAGGGATCTAATCCCTCTTTGGAGCACTGTGGGCAAACATCAATCTTCTGATGTATTTCCTGAAGCATCTGTGCCTCTTGGAATCCATGGCTCCCCTGCAGAGCAACTGCCCTCCTGCCCAGCCTGTTTCCACTCATACACAGAATAGGTAAGATATGCAAAAAGCATTGCAATGGATTTTGTACACTGTAAGAGGTGCTGTTTCAAATCCTCTCAGTTCATGTACTGCTAAATATCCGGTTTAAAATTGCCCCGAATTTTGTATGCTCTTTAGGATCCTATTTGAAGGCTCTTAATTTGGAACAAACATTCTTATTTGCTCTTATGCACACTTACAAGTATAGACATGACTGTTTGTCTGTTTCATTTTTTTTTTCTGCACAGAAATGTGACTAAATAAAGCATCCATGGAAGTAAAATCTAAGCTGCAGCAGATTTAAATGGCAAATGATCAGATAAAATTCACCTTTCTTTTCAAATGGTTGTATGTAAAGACCCACAATATTCCATAAATAATTTGGCGGCAGTATATATAGTCCTGTAACACCATGGCAACAGCTTCTGATGGAGTTGTTTCATGCTTTTTCCTACTTCAAATTCTTAATTAGATGGTAAATCAGATGTGATTTTTACTGCTAGTGTAAACAGAACAAACAGTGAAATTTTAAAACCACATTTATTTTTAATACAAAATCTGTTGCACTATTACAGAAGTAAGCCTGTATGTTTACCCCCACATGCACAGATCATTCAGCATCTACAATTAAATAAAATTATATTCTTTTTTTTTTTACCAAAACCATTGGCAAATCTTAAGAAATTTTCTCTTTGTGCTTTGCAGTCAACGTTTGTATAATTCACTTTTTGCTTCGGTTCCTGTTAGGAAAACTGATCAACAGAAAGCTCAAAGGTGCGAAAGAAGCTTATGACAGATACGCTTGTGAGTACTTCAGTTGTACCCTACCTACAATATGTACATGGATGCTGCGAGGTGTGCTATGATCTGATGTAATGCATTGGCAAAAGCTGTGAATGGTTCAATTAGGAATCTGCAGTAAGAAAGCAGAACAGTTCACTATTTTGTTGTCACAGCAAAACAAAATTAAAAAAAATTATATTGAAGTAGATGCCTTAAAATACCATGCACACCATTGGCTATAGTACTTCTTACACAGTACAACATAAGCTTTCTTGTTTTATTTGTTTGTAACACCTAGAAGCATATAGCACCTACATTTTAAGTGTATTTACAAATTCAACAAAATATCTACATATAAAAAGCTTACTTAAAATTAAACTTGATGCAAGTTATGAAAAACCAATTTATTGGCAAATGAAACTGAGCATTCCTTCAACCATAGGTTGTTATAAAATTTATATTTGGAGGTAAACACTTGATTGATATTGTATGCGAGAAAATAATTTTGTAACTGATAATGGTAATCCTTTACCACTAAACCATAGGAGCGCTTGTCAGATTGAATTCTGCAGCTGTGAGCAGTAACCCCACACTGCTTCAGGGTGTAGGTAATCCCAAAGCTGCCGCACTGGTTGGGCCAGGACATGGAGGGAAACGCACTCTTGCTGGTGAAGTTGGCTGCCTTGGTTTTTAACTCTTTGTTTTAGAAGAGCTTATAGCTTGCTGTGTAAGGAAGTAATTCACTTCTGGTTGCTTGATTACTTGTTTTAAATAAATCTTCTAAGGCCATGAAAACCTGTTGTGCTGTAACTGTCTAGAAAGTGTTTCTTTAATAAGGAAAAAAAAAACCCACTCATATTCTCATTTGTATAATTTAAAACATTTAAAACATTCCAATTTTCAGCACAACAGTTTCATAACACTTTTTTATTTTACAGTTTTCACTTTATGGCAATGATGGTTGTCCGCTAATCACAGTTTACTGCACCAACTGATTTCATAGTACAGTGCATTATGGAATGCATATTGTATAAAGGCACTGAATGTATTTTGCCCTGTGTTTTCTGGAATATTTTCTCTCATTTTAAAGTTTTTCTTTCAGTGACTGTACAAATTCCAAAATGCATTGCAATGCATATCTTTTATACCCTAAAATCAATCCAATGTGTTTTGATGTAAAAAATAGAACACTGTACTGCTGTAATACTTGATAGATTAAAAAGGCTATAAAGTAATAGGAGCAAAGAGCAGATAATAGGGTCTCATTAAGCATCAGCAAATGCAAGTGTCATACTAAAATCATTTAGCAATTATATACTGTACATACTGTTCCTAACTGTCTTGCAAAAAGACATATGATAGCTAGACATTAAGTCACCAATTTCACAACAATGTCCACAAAGACATTGAAGTTCTATATAATACTACTATAACACTCTAACAATGAAAATGGAATTCATACCCAGGGATTCGGCTGAGGACTGCATAACAAACTGTCCAACCATGTTTTTATAGTGAACGTGAGATTGTGAATTGTGTAGCATCTTTTTTCATGCATTATACCATATTTTCAACAGGAAACAAAATTGTAAGTCAATGCTGTTTTTTTTCTGTGTCGGTTCCTTTTTTAGAAAAGTAAGAAAATCCAAGTTTCAAACAAAAGTTGAATTCTGTATCTTGATTCATACTACCATCCCAGTTGGTGTGTCACTATACCATACAGCTGTACAAACCGGCACGTTCTCATAGCATAAACACTTTGAGGTGAGGAGCTTTGTTACCTGCATGTTCATCGTACGAGAAGGAGGACGTACAAGTGCAAACAAACAGAAAACACAAGGGAATCAAGTTCTTTGATTACACAAATGAATTCATGGCATTTACAGGAGAAGGAGCCTCCGAACTTTCATTTCCTTCTGCAGGTTCTTTCTCTTTTTTACCGCTGTATTGTCCAATAAAGGAGCCATCCTCATTGAACTGGCCATTTACACCTTCTCCATAGTCAACTAAACTATCATCACTGTCTTCTTTTTTCACAGTTCTGTCTGATGGTGTCCGACTTCCTTTTTTTAGAGGTTTATGGTCCTCTGCATCGCTGGAAACACAAACAAACAAATGAAAGGAATTAAGCGATGCACCATTTTGTAAGGCAAAGTCAGTCATGCATGCAGAGTTCATAAGAAGCATGTGTGCAGCCCCATAATCCTGCAGTAAATCCACACACATTGTAGAGACAAATCGATATGATGCAGTTGACATGAATGCATGGTGTAGTGATGGTTTAAACAGAGAATGCCTTCAGTGGAAGGTGGGTTTTTTGTGGCTTTCTGTTTTTATTTTTTTCATCGTGCATGACTTTTCAATGGTAAGACTTGTGCCATTGGCTTGGAAGCAATTTAGATGCAACTGCAAGCATTAAGAACGGGGTTGTAAAGTTACCAAAAAAAATTATTTGTTCTTCAAAGTAACAAGGTTCTGATGTGCTGTGAAGTTAGTCTGTTAAACTCCTTAATTTCTTTGACTCCTTCAACACGAATGAAGAATGAATTCGGTTAAATGGAATATACTGATTTTCTTTACTAGTACAAAGAAAATAACAGTGCTGCATTTCAAATAATTTGTTACATAATGCAGACCAGACTTACAATTTTTAATCTTACCTTTCAAGAGACCTACATATTCCATTAAAAGGGTGCAGAAGAAACAAATGAAAATAGCCTAAGAAGAAAAGCAAAGTCCATATCCTGATAGTGATCAGTATTTTATCATAATAAGTTGCTTTTAAAATTGCTAAAACGTTTACTGCATACAGATAAATCAACAAATTCAGCTTACAGTAGCTAGAAATGAGCAGTTAAGAGCATGCTTAGGTTTTTTATTACTTATGAGATCTCAATCCATAACTGATAACATGTTCAGGGAATGATGATGGTGATTTGGAGCACAACAGGAAAAGGCAAGGAAAGAAAGGCAGGGATGAAAAATCCATTTAGCAGAGTACTGCAGTCAGTAGAAAAGCTGCAGCACCATCAGCATCCCAAACAAATTTGTAGCTGTGGTAAGCCTGCATTTTGTGAAACAGATGCAGCTGGGCTCTTTTCTTAATCCTCAACACTGCACTTCAGTCTCAAGAGGAAGATTTCAGCAGCAGCTCCAAATCATCTCCAACTGAAAAACACTACTGGCAGTACTGAAAAAGCACTCTCTTACACTTTGTCTTAAACAAAACATGTAACTTTGTATAGGTACCAAAGAACAAACAATTTTTTTTTCCTTCATGACTTCCATCTTAAGGAAAATGTAAATAAACATGTACAGAATATTGAGGAAATGAAAATACATAAAATTTACATTATTAGACTGAATATATGTTCAGCAAACTATTTTAACTGTGTAATTCCTATAAACAAATACCTTAGATTGTCCAATAATGTATTTGCTTTTCTTTTTCTACTGACTCTCTCTAAATATCCAGAAAAATCAAAACATTATAGCATATATAAGGTCACATATTATAGGTTCACTGATAAATGCTCTATCGAGAAGTATTTCAGCAGCCCAGTACATAATTTTCCATCCAACTGGTATTCCTTATCTCAGCATCCTTTTTTTACTTTGGAAAACTCCATGTTTTCACATTCTGAAAGAAGGACACCTCTAACATGCTTGTAACATTTTGATTTTTTTAAAGCATAGAAGAGATTTTATTTTTCTATGCATACACAAAAAGTGGCAGGAACATTTATCTTATTAAAACCTTCATGTTAAAATTAAAATGTACAGAGGCCAAATACACTTGACTGTATTGGCTTGACTTTGCTTTTTGTTATTGCTGTGTACATGGCATTAGGATAAATATCTGATCATTGATCTTGTGTGCTCACTGCAAACATACAGGTTATTAACACTTAAATGAATTCTGCTCCGAAATGTCACTCGTGCAGCAGCAAAGTGCAAATGTTTGTGACACTGCAAACGCGAGCAGATTACAAAGACAGATCGTTTTGGAAGGATCTTGTATGTAAAAGGTAAATAAAGAATAGACTATTACAAATCCTAAGTGTGACTCTTTTAGTCAGATAGCAAAGTATTTTCTTCATTGTCCTCCTCTGAGGGCAACAGTCATTAAAACAGGCTATACAAAAGCAATGAAAACCAGACCCTCACATTGAATGATACCAGGTCCTACTCCCAGATGAAAATGACCTGCAGTGTTTAATGACTTCTCAGTCATAGCATTTAGTAAAGAACATTGCTTCATAACTGCTTATGCAGTAACATTTAGGAATGAAAGCAAATTAAAAATGCATTTGCACCCCATCCAAGTGGTCAAAAAACTGTAAATGTTCTAAAGCGTGATCCAATCCAGTGTAATTCACTAGGCTGGAAATATAAAGTAAGTAAATAATATACCATTACAGTACTAAAAATATCCACATTTCAGACATTTTTGTGTTTAATCCAATAAAACGGTCAATTTTAATTTACAACTTTGATAAACATGTGAATAGAAACTTTTCCCTTGTGTTGATCTTTGCTTCTTTCTTTTTTTTTTTTTTTTTTTTTTTTTTTTTGCATTCATGGAAACAAAATTTATTTATTATCTGAACAATAAAAAAAAATCACAGTTGGTTGCATTCTGTCTGTAATTTTTCTAGATATTAGCAAGGATACAGATTCTACTCTCTGTATAATTAAAACCAAACAAAACTGCAGATTTACCCAAGAGTGTACCTGCATGGGTGCTGGTATAAGAGCACAGTTACAGCAGGTGTAAAATCAAACCTCAACCTGGGGATTCTTTCCTCTTTTGTGCCAGAAAAGTCCAGAAAGAAGTTCTCCCAGGCTCTGGCATTGAAAAAAGAAGTGGGATTATCTAAGGTGCTTTCCTATTTTTCCAAAAATAATGTGTAAATGCAAAGTACAAAAGGGAACTTTTTCAGGAAAAGGAAACACATTGAATGGGGTCTTGATTCTTTGCCAAACTGGATTATAACACTTGTATTAGATGAACACAGTGTTTTGGGTGAGGGAAAGAAAGGGAGGATAGCTGAGAAGCCAAAGAGGAGAGAGGAGAAAAAGTGAAGACATCAATATTTTTGACAGCACTTTTGCAACCCTGGGTGTGCAAAACAGAGAAGGGACTTCTGGCACTCTGGAGAAATGAATGGGTTTTCTGTGTGCTGCCAAGAGGCAAACTACAAAAGCCACACAGTTGTCCCGTTATTAATATTGATGTCCAAAGAGTTATATAACGCTTTACTCTTTAGACTATATAATATTGCAAAAACACATTAAGATCAGAAATTTTGATACAGTATCTGCAAGATTTTCTAACGACCGTTCATAAAAACAGACCAAAATGTAACCATCATAGCTCACACTTTCTTTTAGTTTTTGTTTGTGCTTTTGCTTGCTGACTTTTAAACTTATCTAAGTGTAATATTCTGAACTGAAACAGAAAGTTGGGCTAACTAAAATTATAATGGAAAATCTAAGAAGCATTTTGAAATGTGTCATGTATGCAGTGCTGACAGTTAGCAGCGAGACAATAAGTACTGGAATGCAACAAGAAATGAGAATGTAACTGAATTTTATCTTCATATCAGAAGACCGTGAAATGAAGATTAGGGATACCTTCTCTATTTGTTGTCTTATAAATATTTTACCTGCTTTTTAAGGATGAAAGTTGCTCAATAAAGACTGAAATGCACCTGACATTTTGGTATGTACCAATATGTATCAGGCATTTCATGCCATTTCAACAAGAATTTGACAGTAAGGCAGACTCTAAAACTCTGAATACTTTTCTGAGATAATTGCTAATACATATTTCTTTTCCCTCCTAGTTGTATGAAACACACAGTAAACTTGAAGACAATGATTAAGAGAGATGAAATATGGAGGTAAAAATAATGTGTAAATGCAAAGTACAAACATTTTTTTAAAAAGTACTTCCATTTCACAAAATCATCAGTTATTGAAAGAAATATCTACCTTGGCATCTCCTTTCTTCTTTCAACTTTTCAACTTTTCTTCCTTAGATATGGGTACATGCAGCAACCAGTCAGAATGGGGAAGATGCCTCTGCAGTCCAGCAGGCAACTAGTTCCCACTAAACTTTGTCACATTCATAGACATGCAAAACAACTCAATATATGGTTAGCAATATACTACTTTTCCTTATAGCGCAGCTGTCAGATGAAAGGCAACACAAAACAAACCAAATGGGTAAAGCATTCTGGGATATTGGATGCAGAGAGAGGATGACGAGGAAGAAATTTGTTGGCAATGAATTTCTTGTTTTGTGCCTTCAGGTCAACACACCAGAAATATTCAAGTATAAGCACACAGAGGCACAGAAGTATGTTACACTGTGGCTTTGTTGTAGATTCCAGGACAACCTCTGATCCAATGCCTAATGGACATCTGCTCACACTCCTTAATTGATAAGAGATCCTGAGGATTATGCAGATTATACTTTTCCCTATACTCTTACACAAATAATTCAGATTTCAAAACTTCGTACTATTTCCAATCTACCTAAGACAAAGGCACATCTATCTTGTTGGTTGTTTTTTTTCTGAGCAAATTTTCTTTAGCGTGTTTGTAATCTTCAATCACGGCAGAAGCTGAAAAAACTGAAGACTAAGTTCCTGGCAGCAGGCTGAAAACGTTAGCTTAAGAATCTGATCTACTCCTAGTGAAAAGTAGTAAAGAAAAATCTGCTTGAGATAAATTTAATCAAACTTTCCACTCTTGCTATTTCAGGAGAAAAACTGTACAAAGGAAAAAACAAAGAACTGATTTTAAAAAGTAGGTGACACAGATGCTCAAGAATTAAAATAAGAACCATCAGAGAAAGAACGCATGTGTGAATGAGGACACAGTAAGATCACTGCCAAGTCCAATCAGACTATTCAGATACAGGAATCCTCCAGGGGCAGTCTACTGACATCATCTGTAGTGCTAGGAAGGATCAATCTTATAACTGTTGTGAGGCACAAATCATTGCTAGGTTCCCCTGGAAACAAACCTAGGCTGCAATAAAACAGCATAAAAATATTGTTGTATGTAGAAAATATATCCTCATTGCTAGTCAACCTAGACAAAGCAGGAAGACTAATGTTATCTATTGGCCTCAGAATTCTCCATTAACCATTTCCAGAAAGTCTCCCACAGCATAGCTAGGAATTTCTAGAAAAAATAATCTTTGTCAAAATGATGGAGAAAGGAGTCAAAGGAATTCAATAAAATGTGCAAATATCCTGTGTAACCACAATAGCAGTCCAGCTACTATAGATGCCTTATCCTGTTTGATCTTCTTTTGAAGACAAATACTCTGGGATATCATGTAAGAAGAGATGCAAAAAGCTCTATTTTCATAAAGCTAAATAAGAAATACATGCCTGCAAACTCTCCCCACCCATGAACCAATAGGTCTGTAGATGCCACTTATTCCTAATCTCTTGATTTATGACCCAGGACAGAAATTTGGGCTGATTTATGTAGCTACATTGACCGAAACAGGAGCTCTGTGTAGTCTTTGTTTTAAATTTAAATAAACACATTTACAGCACTTGTTGTACTTCCTGCAGTTCCTTGGTGTAAACATTGTCCAAAATTCACTTTTTTTTCCAAATGAGAAAACCATTGGGATTGTAGAGAAATAATTCTAGAGGAACTGTGTATGCCACCAATCACAGGAACACTCTACATCCAGTCAATCTGTGATCCCAGAAACATTATTTTTTCCTCCATGAGATCAGTATGGAAGAAAATACGCTCTCAGAAGAAACATCATGGAAGACTGCAACATTTCAAACAAGTCTTAGCCACTCCAAGAATACCATGAATACTAGAAGCTGAATGTGCCAAAAACCTTCCTATGACTTCTCTGGGAAATCATAATTAGCAATTAAGTAATTTAATAACTTAAATCTTATTTTGAAATAATACATTTTCAAAGCATTGGCCTTACTTGCCAATATTGAAATATTGAGATACTGAAGTTTATTCAGCATAAATTTCTGTATTTTTCAGTCTCCCCAGTTCCTGAGAAAGGATGGTAGTTCAAGCTGTTCTTAGAAAGTTCCTCTTGATGGTCTGGTATCTCTTTGAAAACGAGATGTCCTTTCATAGCTGGCATGAAAAGATTGTGAGACTTTGTATTTTCCCTTTCCTCCTTTAAACTTCGGAGGAGAACGAAAGGAACTCTGAGACTTGTGAGGATAAGAAAACGAGCTGCCAAAATAGCATTTTTTTTTCATCCGATGTAAGGAATGTTTGTGTTCTGCAAAGTCCTTCAGGATCTGGACCAAGGATTCACCAAATAGCTTGCCACCAGTGTATGGCAGAGAGAGCAGCTGACATCTGAGATCTAGCGATGAGGTCCAAGGACGCAGCCATATAGCTCTCCAGGCTACTGTGAGGCATGCAACATTTTTAACTGTGAGTCTAAGAGAATCCTCAGCTGCATCATGGATAAAGTTAGCTGCAAGTTTACACAGTCTGTGCTTCCTCTGTATGGCACCAGATGGGACACATTTTCTCTTAACTCTGGCTTGTTCTTCCTCCAGCCATAATAGTAATGCTTTAGAAGCATAAGTGCAGTAGATAGACACTCCAAGCTGGGCTGCAACCAGACTGAAAGATCTTTTGATTTCTTCTTCAATCTTTCTATCAGTAAGATCTTTAGGGAGAGCATCCATGTTAGCAGACGTTGAAAGCACAGAATCAGCAGTAATCAATGGCCTGTCTACCTTAGGCAAGGTCCCCCACAAAGCAGCTTTATCCACTGGAAGGGGATACAGCTTATGTAGGATTTCTGGAGCTTTGTGTT